TATTAAAAAAAATAGATCATAACTAAATTTATGCTATTTTTAAGCTAAAATTGTTACATGAACTCTACAGCTTAAGGGATAGTAGTTTTACACCTATTTCGTATAATAGTATGATTTATAGACTATGTATATGCATGACGTGACTATGTATAACTAAATAATCTCGATTATATACATGATGTGACATAACTTTTACTTTCATTAACTTCTACTAACCTTTATTATATGTTAGAAATTTTGTGTATATTTAACTTCTAACTCTTACTTTATATAACTATATATAGTTATAATGTTGTACTCAAAAAAGTTGTAAAAATCAATAGAACCTAGTTAGTATAGTCTTTCAAAATGGCAAGTGAAGATGAATTCGACTTGGCAGATTTATGTTTTGCAAATAATGTTGAAATAAATATGTTCGACGAACTTTTAAACTTTAATAGTCAACCACAAATAATAGAAGAAGCTACTAAATTACCTGAAACTAAAACTAAACCTGACAAATTCACTGATTCAGAGGAGAAATTATATTTTCTAACAAAAAGACTAAGTTTTGTAGATTGGAAAGACGTTGAGAGGTATAATAAAGTGAACTTTTTTTTTTTTTTTTTATGTTTCTTTCTATTTTCTTTTGCATTTAAGTATTAACTAGTTAAAGTTATCTTGCCAAACATAAGCATGAATGAGGATTTGCTTTTTCATTAGCAAAAAGTAAGTTGGATAAAAATAATAATATTCCAAGACATCATGTTTATTACTGCTTAAAGGGATATCGTTATTAGGCAAAAAAAAAAGCTCATACGTTAGAAAAAAGGAACAAAGCATATGAAAATACTGGGTGTAAGTTTCATATTAATTTACAAAGGTGGAGAAGTGACAACCGAATACATATCTTAGATATAATTGGTAAATATTCATATTCAATAAGTGAAAATATACAAATGATTGCACCACAATACCTTCGTCTCACACCAAAAATGCGAGATAATATTGAGCTTCTTGCTGCTAGCAATATACATACCGGATCAATAGTTAATGTGCTAACATACAAGTACCTAGGCCAGTATATACATGCACGTTGTGTCTATAATATTGTTCAAACTATCAAAACAGAAAAGAAAAAGTTAAGTGATGCAGGAGCAACTTACAAAGAACTAATGCAATACAAACAAGAAATGCCTAGTTGGTATGTTGATGCTAAATTTGAAGGAAGCAACAATTATCTTGTAGGACTTATATAGTTGTATTCTAAGCAAATATTTGGAGCAGTTTTCATGATGTTATCTTACTTGATACTATCTGTAAAACCAATCGGTTTAATATAATAATGTGTATAGTAGTTTGTATGAATAATCATAATAAGTCCCATCTCGTTGCAACAGCTTTAATTGTAGATGAGCAAAAAGCAATATTTGAATGGATTTTGCAGAAGTTGCTTAATGCAACAGGTTGTTTGTTTACTAATTTGGGTTATGTATTTGTTTTAGTTCGCTTATATATTAACTTTTTTTTTTATAATTAAGGGGAACTAGCACCAAAAGTTGTTTATACAGACACAGATCTAGCTTTAACTAGTGCAATAAAAGGTGTATGGCCTAACACAAAACATAATTTTTGCTTGTTTCACATAAAGAAAAATCTTGAAAAGCACTTTCTTTCTAAGTTTGGTGGTGAAAAATATAGTTTTTTTTGCAAGTTTTTGTCATACGCGAAATAGTACTACTAAGAGTGTTTTTGAACAAAATTGGCAAAAAGTCTTGGATTCAAATCCTAAAACACAGTTTTATCTAAAACATCAGCTTTATTCTCATCGAGAAGTATAGGTTCTTGTATTTACATATCGGTTTTTCAATTGCGGCATACAATCAACTCAAAGAGTTGAAGGTTATAACATGATTTTCAAAAAATCATTAAATAGGACAACATCGCTTATGGAAGTAGTAGGTATAATTGAACAGAATCTTATAAGAGAGTCACAATTTGTAAGATTCAACAAAGCTAGTAGAGAATTACAATATGTTGCACTTGTATCATATTGAGATCACTATTTCATAGCAATTGATGAAATATATGCAAAGTTTTTTATACCAGCAATACAAAAGCTACAATGTTATCAGATAGATCAATGTCCTTATTATTGAGCTCATCATACGAATTTGGATACTAAATTACAAAAATGAAATATTAGTAAAACAGTATTTTAATGCAACTACAAGTTTTGATTATTGTTTGGTCAGAAAAGACCTATAATTTAGCTCATTAGCATATTAGTTATTTGATTTTTTTTTTTTTTTTTTTTGTAAAATACATCAGAGAATGTATTTAGTGAGGATTTGTATAATGAGATTCTGATTGAATTAACTGCACTTGTTAATAGCATTGATCTTGATGATATCAAGGAGCTTTGGGTAGTGTTACAAATAAATCAACAAAAATATCATTTTGTCGTTCTATTAGGTAATGCGAGTCATTTGTATACATATTTGATACTTGTAAATCATGGTATCATTTGTCATCATTTTTTTGCCATTCTATTGAAAAGTAAAATTGCACAGTTTCATATTGGAATTTTAGCAAAGCGCTGATTCAACAATCGAGTGATACATAAAAATGAGGAACTTAGCAATAAACATGCTATTTCAATTAGAAATGGTCAAGATTTTGATACATTTGAACATGAAATTCAGATGGATTTTTCTTTTATTAACTCAATGTGTGGCCAATATGTTTTTACACCTAAGGTGCAGAATCATATAAAAAGTCATTCTCTTTATAGTAAAGACTTTAGATTAATGAAAAAAGCTTTAAACATAGCAATTGAAACTGGTTGGACTGAAAAGTTATATGAGTTGCATTAGCAGTTTATAGCAGATATGCAAAAACAACTTGCTGGCCAAGAAAATGGTTTATAATCAGATGAAGAAAATTATTTTGAATCAATTAGCAATTCTCCAAAGTCACGAACAAAAAGTCGAAAGTATCAAAAACATATAGCAGCTTTTAACGATGAAGTGCCAAAAAAAGTATTAAAAGAAAATACTAATGTTCAGCATAATAAAAATTTAATTGGTAATCCACCAGTCAACCAGAGAATGATTATAGTAAAATGTGACTCAAATTACTTATAAAAATTAGAAGTCTCCAAATGTGATGTGCACATATCTAAAACTTTTTTTATACTAAGTTAATCACAGTTTCTTAAGTTAGAAAAGTGATTAACTTAGTATAAAAAAAGTTTTAGATATGCGCACGCCACATTTGGAGACCTTTAATTTTTATAAGTAAGTTGAGTCACATTTTACTATAATTATTCTCTGGTTGACTGGTGGATCACCAATTAATAAGGTTAGGTAACTCTAGCATTAGTATTGAGTCAATCAATATGGGTGGTGATGTGCAAGTTCAAGTAAGCCAAGATCGAGATCAAATAATGCATAATCAAAATACGGACACACATGAAAATCAAAGTAAGTATATATATGTTTATTGACTTTATTCATACTGTATTGATAAGCATCATTCTAAATAATTACTATATTTTAGAGATGGTTATGGTAATCAATAATAAGAATACATCACAATCGATTATACAAGGTATTGATATTATCTATTATTTAATTTTTTTTAAGTACACCTTTATTAATGTATAAAACCAAATTTTTAGGCAAGAAAAAACGATCATATATATGTAGACATTGTGGTAAAAATGGCCATCGAAGATCTCGTTGTCCTGATATTATAAAATAATTATCTGTATCATACTCTGTGTATATAGTATTTACGTATATATGCATGTGTATACGTATGTAAGTTCCAATTTATTATGTTTTGCAATACTATTATTTTAATGTTCAGGATTACTAAACATAGTACTAGAATAATAGAAACTATGTTATAATAATTTTATCTGTTATTTGCATAGCACTGATAGTGTATATGTATTGTTTTGATGACTGCTAAATTGTATATAATAGTGTAAGTATGACTAACTGCTATCTAGAATACTAAGTGCTTGTTTATAGGGTGTAAAAAAAACTGATTTTTAATAAAGCAATATCATATGATTTGGGTTTATTCTTGTAAATGTAAATCTGTATAATTGTATCTTTTATATCAAATACCGAAAAATATACTCAACTTTTTTTTAAAGTTAGAGTTAGAGTAAGTGTTAAAATAGATTATTCTCTTTTAGCATTATACTATATGTTAAATAACTTTTATATATATATATGTATGTTAACAAGCTAGATAGAACCGAAAGTTCTAAATTTATATAGATAATAATCTTATATAGTATACATATTAATTCATGTTCTTAATACATATATATAGAAATTAAATAGTGTACATAGTCAATTATATATTATATGTTAATAGGAAAATTTGTATATATAGGTGGAAATCACCATAGATGGTTTTCACCATAGGTGTATTTTCACTATAGGTGCATTTTAGTAAAATTCAAATTTATATATTTATGTTCCTTATATTTTGGTCTATTTAGGTTTTAAATAAAATAAGTCAAAAACAATTTCGGGTCCCAAAACCCAAAATAATTTTAGTGACATGTATATTCCAGATAAACCAGTAAGGTGTCTTTTATTATAATTGTAATATATCTATTACTTAATAAAACATTCTAAACCAAAGAGATCACCTTAATACAAAATATATATATATATATTGACAGTTATGCTACACACTCTGCTTTATTGATAAGGTATATCAATTCTAAAGAATTTTTAAATTACATCATACTTTTAATGACAAAAAATACTAGAATATGACTCAGCATCTATATATAATTTGCCAAAGATGAGTTTAATTTTCCTAGTTTGGTTTGATTTATATTAAATCAACTCACTCTGATTTATTGACCTGGTTTATCAGCTATAATAACTGCCTTCTTTCACAACTTTTTTCTTTTTCTAGCCTTCTAGATTAGTGTTTTAAATCATTAATTGAAAATCCAAATAGTTGACAACTTTACAACTAACCAGTTTAAAAATTTTTTAATCAACTAACCAATTTATAAACAACTAGTTCAACTACAGTTAACTGTTAGTTATCAACTAGTTGTCAACTAACTAGTTGTCTATGATTATCAACTACACAACTATTCTACATATTCTATTGGTATCTCTGTTCTATAACAATATTGTGTCATTGTGCAAAACCAGGAATAAGAAAGTATTTAGATATTAAGTAGTCTGAAATTTTAAATTAATCTGATTCTGCATTTTTACAATATTTGATTAAACATATTAAATTTAGATCATGTCATAGTTAAATATAGTCTTGCACTCTGTTTTAGAACCAGGCTATGAACCAAAAAGGCTATTAGAATAAACTGTGGCAAAGCTAATTGAGTAATCTTTTTGAATACTATATTGATTGTAAAACTTTCAAAGGCAGGTATAAAAAAAGATCTGTGGTAAAAAGTTTGTTAAGAATTAATATTTATCATTATATACTCTAAAAGTATTAAATTTTTATATATATCTGTGTTTCCATGTAATATAACAATTATGAGATGATTATCAGTTATAATTGCTTTTTATTTTTTTATTTTATTTTATTTTTTTAACATTAGCTAACTTTTTCACTTTACAATGAATGTGTTTATAATATTGTATTATTAGAGCCTTGGTATAAACTCATCGCTTTAGGTGTCGTCGCCATCTAGATGTTCTTGTAAACATGGATTTTGTTATTTGGGTGGTTTTATGCCTCTGTAAAGTTGGCATCATTATTAGGGTTACTGTAGATATGGATTTTGTCGCTTGCTGTTTTAGATTAGATTCCTTACTTGTAGATTAGTATAAATTTTGTTGTTTGTACTAGTGGCATGATTTGTCATTTTTAATGTTAAACTTTGCAAGAACTTTATATTGACTTTTTTACTTTTTCAGATCATTTAATAATAATTTCACATCAAATAGACTTGCAAGAACACCATGCTGAATTTTCACACTTTCCCAGTAACAAGCTTGAATCAAAAAAAAGAAAAGTGCTATACATATGTATTTTGCAGAAATATTATATAGGCTACTTTAAATCAAAAGAGAAAAAGTACCTGCAGATATATTTTGCAAAACAGAATGAGACAATGTGCTAGTTTATGTATCATGCTAACTTGCCTACCTTAGTAGACTAGTTTCAAGAACACTATGCTAGCATCTTTGGATTTTAGATAAAATAATTTGGCTATAAATCACTACTCAATGATAGGTTTACTATATAATCAGTTCAAACTGAGATCTTTTTATAGCTGTTTTTATAAATTCTGAAACAATTGAAAAAATTGCCGATAACCAAATTAATAAGTTACTAAGTTAGCAACAGATTCAGCTAAATTCAGAAGCTTATTGATTTAGTTATTAGCAATTTTTTTAGTTGTTCTAAAAAACAGCTATAATAAAATTGGGGTTTTCAATTACATATAATTGCAAAAACAAAGCTGGCTGCATTATAGACCTGGGTTTATTATAGGTTCTAAAATTTGTAAAATGTAAAAAGCCTGGCTAGGTTTTGTAAAAAAGTACTAATTAAGCTCTAGGTTAGTATATTAGTTAATTAGGTTGTGGATTGGGTTTAGGGTTCGAAATGAGGCTAAAACTAGAAATAGATAAAACAAATTAGTGAAGTTACAAATGATAAATAGATTAGGTTAGGGTTAGAAAAAGGTAAAATAGAATTAAAGTTAGAGTTATAAATAGAGTTTAGAGTTAGAAATCAAATACAGTCAACTCTCTCTAAGTACAGCTCGCCAGGACCTATAAAATTTTTTTAAATAAAAAAAAAAATCTTGCATTTAGAGAGAATCTGCACTTAGAGAATATAAGTTCATTATAATTTTATATAGCTTGGGGCCAAAAAAAAACTTGCATTTAGAGAGAATTTAATATAATCTGCATTTAGAGAGTATGCATTTAGAGAAAGTTGACTGTAATATAAATTAAATATGTATCTTTATTAATTTGTAATATGTATAAATAAATAAATTTTTTTTTTTTTTTTTTAACTTTGGCTATCTTGCCAGGTACTTGCCGGGTATTTATTAGGAGTATGGTTCATACAAATTATATATTGGTAAGTGATAAACTCTAGGCTTGTTAGCAAATAGCATATAAGAACTATTTCTAAATGACAGGTGCTGTAATACATATGACTAATTCTTTTAACACACCTGACCTCACCCAGTTACTATCTAAGCATCTAGATGCAATAGTAGCACCATATTTTGTGAAATTTGCACCAACCTTTGTGAAACTGGTATCTAACTTTGCTAGAATACATGTCCTACCCATGTACTCACCCAGATTTCAGTAATATTCTACCATAGCTTGACCTATGCACTTGGGGTCAGGGCTAACCATTGAACCCCTGTCGCTACCTACTTCTGTTCTTATAGGTTTACAATAAACCCCAGTACCCACATTCCAACTGTCTTCTTACTTGAATTCTCTATCGGTTTCTTCCTCACTTCCAGCTAGCAACCCAGAAGAGTCAGTCTGCCCAGGCTTTAGGTACCTGAAGAACATCCTTCTCTTGGTTCATACTTCTGAAACGTATGCCCTTTTCCTCCAGTGCAACAGAACCTGGTGGTTCAGCTGGTGTGTCTTCTGCTATTAGAACCTGGTCGCTTGGTTTTCCGATCTCAGACCACAGTTTAAATTCAGCCCTCATACAGTACCATCAAAGATCACTGCTACTTCTAACTCAGAACTTCTCAAATGGGTTTTCGGTTATTCTGGTTTCTTAAATTTACTGCACCAAAGCTCCTATTACTAGATGGTATAACCGAGATTGCAGATTTAATTCTAGATCCAACTGATAATTGACAACTATTAACCATAACACAAGCCTATTTTCTAAAATTTGGCATCCATGGGATTTGAACTCTAGACCTGCTACTTGGCAAGAGTGAACCTCTAAATAAATAAATTATTATAATAAATATTAAATATAAATTATATTATAGTATATATCTTATATATTTTGAATTTCACATGTATATATAATCATACTGGTCCTGCACAGTATCACATACTACACAGCTATCTTATACAATAACCAACCAACCAACCAACTAACTAACTAACCAACTTAACCAACTAACCAACTAATTGGTTAAATTAGTCACGTGATAACATAACCAGTTAGTTGACAACTATAGTTGACAACTAACTAGTTGGTAAAATTTAATCAATTTGGAACACTATTCTAGATAGAAGAATTTTGCAAAATAAAAGGAGAAACTAAAAAAAAAAAAAAAAAATCTAAATTAAACAAAACAAAACAAAAAACAAAAGGCACAAAGAAGATGGCTATAATAGCACTATTTTTGTTTGTACTAAGCTACAAAAATTATATAATACTGCATAGAAAAAATCTAATCTAATACTATATGTATTAAAAGAAATAAAAAGAAAATGTCTAATATTAAGAAATTTCTATATATAATCTCTTCAATCTCTTATAGTTTATTATTGTTTATTTGGCAAAGCAATATCCAAATAAGCTTGTAGCAAGTTCTATTTTGGTAGATGCATCCTATTTTGAAAGAAATAAATACTGCTAATTTTTTAGAAATGTATATCAGTTTTCTCACTTTTTGGCTAAAATTTCTAAAATTACAAAAATATAATACTTTCAAAATTTCTAAAGAGTGTGTTGGAAATCCAAAACTTCTATTGTTTTCTTTGTGTTCTTCTTTGAAATAATAGCCTTCAAGCTTTGTTAACAAAGTAAAAGCCTACTATAAGATTTCTTCTTATTACCAAAATTTTTTATACAAGAGCACTGCTTGCTAGTTATCTTGTATAATAACACTTTTGGCTTGCATGCCAAATATCTTTTTAAAGAAGTTTCCTAGAAATGTAATTGATCTCCAATGTCTCTTCAACAAAGATTGTGTTTTCTTTTGGCTGAAATTTTAGTACAAGTAATCATTAGAGAGAGTTGTATTTAATTTAACTTTTAATTAAAATAATATATCAAAAAAACTCTTTTAACAATCACTTTTATTAAAAATTTTCAAAAAACTTCATATAGTATTAGAAAAAAATACAAATAGCTATACTAATTTTGACAAGGCTTAAGTTCAGTTTTACTATCACATGATGATTAGAAAACAAATATCATTAACTCTAAAATACATTGTTTATATTTGGGTTTTGGTTTAAAAGGATTAAAAAGAGTAGCTAAATAATAAAATTGTATGAGAAATTTTTTTTGCTAAAACTCTAAAAATAGTTTATTAAGCTAAATTTCAAAATAAATATAATTTTTACAAAGCAAAATATTTGGATTGAATTTTTTATATTACACCTAATTTTGAATTTTAATTGGCTAATAGATATCAGAAAATTATATAACAGTAAAATTGATCTTATACTTTGGTGTTGTTTTGCTATACTAGACTATAAGACATAAAAAATAGAACTATAGAATAACAACTATTATTTAGAAATAGTTCTTATAAGTTTATCACTTGCTAAAAAAACTTAGCACTATGCATGTTTTGTATAGACTATAGTTGATTTTAGTAAAAGAAACTTATACTCTTTTATTTTGTATACAAGTAGTTTTTTCTTTCTTTATTTTATCTTTCTACTATTTTTACAAAAATTTTAACAAAAAGTGAACATTTTAGCTTACCTTCTCTAAAAGATCAGCATTGTTTATATTTTCTATTTTCAGACAAATGAAGTAGAACATAAATACAGAATTGTTTTGGCAATAATATTCCTATACTGCATAATAAACCAATTGGCACTTTGGTTAATAAACTAATTTGGATTGAACTATATAGTTGAAAGAAAATTTAAGAATAAGGCTTAGCTTTACAATAGAGATATACAAGATTTTAAATTTAGTATATAATTTTTACAACTAAATCTAGCACAGACTATAATAGTGCTTTCATAGATTGTTTTTTTTTTTCATTTGTTTTTGTTATTCATTTTCTTGTTGCTTAGACAGTTTTTTTCTTCTCTCTTTTATTTTGTTTCCTTATATTTTATTAGTATAGTTAACTCTCTATAAGTGCACTGTATACAAACTACAAAAAATCTTGTATTTAGAGAAATATTGCATTTAAAGAGGTAAAAATCTATAAGTATATATATAGTAGAGCCACAGCAAGACCATGTATTTAGAGAGGTCTTTGTATTTATAAAGGTTGTATTTAGGAAAGCTAACTGTATTAGTTTTTTTTTTATAAGTTAGTTGAAGACTATAAATTCTTCTGCTTAAGAAGCTAAAAGAAGAAGATTAAAAAAGAAGACAATCTTAATAGACTATAAATACTATTCAGTGATGTATTAAATTATTTAGTTGCAGAATTTTTTGGTATAAAGATAAACTTTACTATAGCAGATCAAACATAGATAATTTTGATATTTTAGTAATACTTGTAACTTAGGTAGGCTTTAGATAACTTTAGCTAAAATTATATTTTATCCATAAGTTAAGTATTAAAACCTAATAAAGTATTAGCAAGATTTCCAAATTTCAAAAAAAAAGAAAAAAAAAATTAAAATAAT